CTGTTTACGATTGTTTCAGGGGGATAGTTGTCTCTCACCTACGATTGTTAAACTCCAACTATAGTGGTTTCTCATTTGAACTCTTGGAATCGTATGTGGAAGTTAATCACCAATGTGCACAAGATCATTATTAATACTATTTTGCTCAAAATTTACTAGTTATTACTGTTCAGCTACTACATAATGATAATAATTAAAAGTTTTCTACACATACTATCTTTCAATACAATAAAGTAAAAAAAGTGCTGTTAAGTAATTATTTTATTGATTGTGTTCACATTTTCCACTGTTTTTATGTAAACGTATGTGTGTGCATTTCATCACATGTCCGTAACTTATTTTTGTCTGATTATGAATACCGATTCTCTCTTGATTAAATTGAGTTGGCTCAGACGCTTTCGTCGATCCGTTTCGTTTCGCTTTCTTCTTTTCACTTTCTTCACTTCGTTTCTTTGGTTGTCTGTCTGGAGCAACAATTGTATGAAATACATGTATGCGAAATCCATTCTTGTATTTGACTTGTTTAATTCTGGTATTCATCAACGCGATGATTATATACGAGGATTGGTGATATATAAATTTCGATAACAAGCAGCAAACGATCTATCTAGAGTCAGATATTCCAGGGCCATTAAAGTATATCTCAGTACGAATTTAAATAAAACTAAAACCAGAATATCATTGTAGATATATCATATTCGAGAGTTCTTGTTTCTCCTAAAATGAAACTTTCCTATATAAAAACCTACATTAATGTTAAAAATGTTGTTTATAACACTGTCTTTAAAACAGAATTGAATTAAACCTAATGTTAAATGGCTTAAAATAACAAATATAATATATCAGAAGGCGTTTGTGGAGATTTTAGAAATTTCACAGATTGAAACCATGAGTCAACTGAATCTAGACCACCATGGAAAACTTCTAAGCACCGGACGGTCGTTTCGTTCTAGTATGGGACTCCTCAGCAGTGCACATCCACGAACCCAGCCCGTGCGAGATTCGAACCCAGGACATATCAATCTCGCGCCAAGCGCTTAACCAACTAGACCACTGAGCCGGCATCCAATGGTGTTAATGTCTAACTTCAACCAAACCACGAAGTTGCGCCACCGTATACCATTGTCTTCAGTGAGTTGATATCTCACAACAGACGTGGTTGAACTCCATAGGTAACGGCTTCTCACTCGAACTCTAGTGGTCTAGTTGGTCAAGCGCTTGGCGCGAGACTGATAGGTCCTGGGTTCGACTCTCGCGGGGTGCAGGATAATGGGTGTGCACTGTTGAGGAGTCCCATACTAGGACGAAACGGCCGTCTGGTGCTTTCAGGTTTTTCATAGTGGTCTAGCTTCAACTGACTCGTGATTTCAATCTGTGAAATATAATATATCTTAAAAGTAATATACCATATATACAGCATGAATAACAAAACCAACTATTAAAATATTTCACAGAAAACCATTGCATTTTACATCTGAATCATAAAATAATCATATTATTTCATATTATTATCATATTATGATAGGTGGCTTCTTTTTTAATTGACCGAATAAATGAAATAATTTAACTATGGATGCTATTTTCTAGAGAATTAGTGTACACATATACTTATTATACGTACTTGTTTGGTAACTGTTCAATATCATTTTCATATGGTCCTAATTGTAATTTTGTATTAGATTTATTAAACGTTACTATATTTCTTAGTCATTAACCAATTACAGTAAATCAACGAACTTAGATCAAAAACTTGTTATTGTCATTCTGAGCGATTTTAATATCTGAATAATCTCTTTGTCTCAATGGCTGCATTAATGGAGTAATTGTTAGTGGATATAAAATATTGAATACTATTACTTAAGTCATTTGTATACACTTACTACTTATTACATTTTAGCCACATTCGATTTTTCTGTACATTAACGTAAACATTAAATAAGTTATCGTTTATCTCACTAAATAAATCAGTAATTTTGGGACATAATTATTAACTTAACCTTCTTTTTAAATAATTTGGTGAGTAAAACGTAACTGATTACAATGACTGCCAGGGTTTTACATTTTTACGTAATTGTTACCTGTCACTTAAAAAAAATAATCGACAAAGTAGATACTAGTATAAATAAGTTTCTACCACAATGAAATGAATTATACTTAATCATTGGCTTGATTAAACAAGGCCAGCAAGATAATTTTCTTTATATAGAATTTTACAGCTCAAAATTTCATTCATCCAAATGAACAATATACAATCAAAATACATACGTATTCACGTGTTGTGCAACTGTATTCCGAAAATTGTTTGTCGCAAGATATTAAAAAATAGAATAACATGATGCTGCTGACCAAGAATCTGCCTTATCTATCGCATATCATAAATACTTAATAATGAATTGAAAATAAATACAACTTTATTTAAGAAGATGATTTAGATAAGCTCTCTCTTTAGAATTACAAGATGATTCAAATTTTGTAAAATATTAACTGTCAGTAAGTGGGTTGTTGAAATCGTGTATCGATCAATTTTAGACCACTGTTGGAAATCCGGAAGCATTAGAAAAAAGTCTAATCCTTGTGTCAGGCTCCTCCTTAGGGCGCGTCCACGATCCCACACGCGGGACTCGAACCCAATATCTCCGGTCTCGCACGCGAACGCTTAACTTCTTGATCACTTAGCTGACATCCGACGGTGTTAGCGTCTAGTTTCAACTAATCCGTAACCATCTTCCATTTTCTTTGTTGGTAACTGCCTTACTTCCGACACGGTGACTAGCATCGAGAAGTAATTTTCAGAGTTCTAGTGAGAAGCTGTGGTCAATAGAGTTCAACTGTGTCTGGTTTTTTATTCTTGACTTAGTTTATCTGACGTCTCGGGTTCCGTATATAATTCAGAAGTAGGAATGTGTTTAAAAAATAAGATGAAATTGATACTTATAAAAGCCCAATCAAAAACCAGTCAATTAATAGTACCTTTAATGGTTTTTAGTCTGAATACTTTAATCATTGGAATACAACTACCTAACAGGTGCTTAAAACTAAGTATACTACCATAGAATACAAATATGACGGTTTACTATCTGATTTTTGATTATTTTACGTTCTTTGAGTCACCTTGTTTGATTTCAAAACTTTCAATATTATTTTGGAGAAAATCAACCTCGATAATAAGATTTTTGATTATTTCGTGAGCGTTCTGTTCTGATGTCCTTGTTGTCCACAGATTATCTTATATTATTATCTTCAAATGTCCTTAGGTTTCTGTCGATTATTTTGTCTGATTGATTCCTCAACATGAAACGGGTTGGTTTTTCACACATCTTTGTCCCTGTTGATTGGAATCTCACGTTTACAGAAATTCTTTAAGACTTGTAATTTCCTGTATCCAGAATTTTGACATTTTCCCAATCATATATTTGTTCGTAGTTTTCTGTAGGCAGTGATATAAATGATATTACGTCAAATCTTCTTACTGATAGTCTGCGTTCATGTATAATTTGGTAAGAAGAAGGGTATCCACCTTTACTATCGTAGAACGCAATTCTGGAAGATTCACCTAGCTGAGTTACAAATTATTCTATTAATTATCAATTCCACAGTGAAAACCAACCTCTATTGTTTAAGCAGAATTAGTGATACCGTTAAAATCAGTAAAACAAAACAACAGTATACCTGTAAATTATTGAATATTATAAGAATAACATTTGCATATTTCTCCAAATTCGCTTATTAAAAAATAGGTAGTTGGCAAATAGTGCCATATGATGCTCACCTCATAAAATTAATGAAAGATAACAAAGTATAACTGATTAATGGTAGACCAAAACGCATTAAATTCAGTACATAATTTCAGTAACAATCTTTTCTCTACAAGTTGTGTATGTATACATAAATTATAAGTACAATGGAACGTTTTTTGGAAGAATTCAGTTTCTAGATCGTTGATTGTCTAATACCCACTAATGTTAAACATTTCTTTTAAATATATAAATGAAACTGATAACAGGATTTAATTTAGGCTTTAAGTTGTATACTGTTCTCAAATTAATTTGGTGTTTCTGTGGTAAATGATTATGTACCAGAAATTGAGATGTAACTCAGGCGGATTTACTGTAAGGTACACCATGGTTGACCTGCTGTAATAATAACCTAAGAGCATGATCTAATAACTAAATTTATTTAAATCTATATCATTTAGATTTGATTGCTGTTTGGGTTTTAGCTATTCTAGCTCAGTCAATAAAGTGAGGAAATTTTATTGTTTTTTGGAAGAATTCAATTTCTAGATCGTTGATTGTCTAATACCCACTAATGTTAAACATTTCTTTTAAATATATAAATGAAACTGATAACAGGATTTAATTTAGGCTTTAAGTTGTATACTGTTCTCAAATTAATTTGGTGTTTCTGTGGTAAATGATTATGTACCAGAAATTGAGATGTAACTCAAGCGGATTTACTGTAAGGTACACCATGGTTGACCTGCCGTAATAATAACCTAAGAGCATGATCTAATAACTAAATATTATTTAAATCTATATCATTTAGATTTGATTGCTGTTTGAGTTTTAGCTATTCTAGCTCAGTCAATAAAGTGAGGAAATTTTATTATGTGCTTGTAGTAAATTATCATAGTTCTTCGGCCATCAATGTTTTAGGCATTATAATTGCAACATAATACGTTAATTTCATAGCTGATAGATTTAAAATAGCTCCATAAATGTTTTTAACTAACATTACAATTAAATTCTGTAATAATTAACTTTAATAACCATAGAGTATCACTTCCGGAAATGAAGGGAAAAATAGACAAATAACAGTGACCATCATTAGTTTAATGAGATTCCTAATTTTAGACATTAGTGTCATTCTGAGCTATTTTAACATCTGGATAATCTCTTCCTCTCTCTCTCTCTCTCTCTCTCTCTATATATATATATATATATATATATATATATATATATATATATATATATATATATATCTTTGAGCTCTGTTGCAACATGTTTGCGATAAAAGTGAGTACATAATTGATAATATGCTAAAATTTCTGAATAATCCCCTTTTGACTGTAGTGAGCGAATCCATAGTTAAGTGAATTATCTGAGCTGAAAATTCTTCTCAAACTAAGGATAAATGATTATTCTATCTTATTGTGAATTATATTGTATATATGACTTGAAGTTATAATAAATAACCTTTCAATCAATTCGGATTTGTACAAACGTATTATATATACTGAAACTTCAGTACAAATATCTTTAAGTATGACAACATTTAGAATTTTCATAATAACGTATTAGTTTCTATATATATGCATAGGTATCTCATCATTCAGCCACTGATTTTTGTTGTTGGGGCTTTTTCCCCCAAATATAAACTAACCCGACAATCAAACATAAAACGATGGATTTTGTATGAACGTTTCACAAAGAGTACACATGTAGTATAAATTATCCACATTCACACACACACACACACTAATTTAGAAGTAGACTAACCATTACTTGTATTTTATATTATAAAGTGAAAAATATATTGATCAGTTTTATGAATTACTTTGTACTACCATTTTATCATTTACAAACTTTTGTAATATTTAAAGGTTTCATGCACCTAAATTACGTTTGTTGAAACAACAAACCAATCCCTTTTTTAAATTAAAATTAATGAATAAGAAAGTAGAGATGAAACTTAGATTTAATAAAAGGTGCAAATGATTTTATTATTTAATAATCTCTCTTTTGATATATAAATAGATTAAAAGTACATTCATAGAAAATTATTTATCAAAGGTACATATTTTTTTATTATTTTTTAATAACTAAGCACTTTAATATTGGTTTCTAGAAACTTATTCTCATGATTATTTTACTATGTATCATTTCTATCAAAATTCGTATTACAATATTGTTTAATTCAATGGATCATACGATAATAAAATGTAGTTTTATATTAAAAAGTGTAAATATATCAAATTGCCTTATCAGGATTACTTGATTATTATTATTATCATTATTAGTGGCTTTATTCAATATTTTATTTTTCTGGTATAACATAGAATTTTCAATTTAAACTATTTTAAACAAGTTCCTGTTTTTATCAGAAGGGGTTTTCTGGAGAATTTAGAAATTTCAATGGTTGAAATCACGAGTCAATAAAAGATAGACCACTATGGAAAACCTGAAAGCATTGGACGGCCGTTTCGTCCTAGTATGGAACTCCTCAGCAGTGGATACCGGCTCAGTAGTCTAATGATTAAGCGCTTCCAGGTTTTCCATGATGGTCTAGCTTCATTTGACTCATGATTTCAACTGTTGAAATTTCTTAAAACTCCAACATTTCCCTTCTAATAATAATCATCTGCTCACTAGTGGCTGACTTCAAGAGGCATTTCCTGAAGTTCTCATGGGAAGCCCTTACCAGTGGAGTTCAACCAGGTCTCTTGTGGAAGATCAGCTCACTGAAAACAATGGTGTTGCGCAATTTCGTGGATTGTTTGAAGTTAGACATTAACACCATTGGATGCCGGCCAGCTCAGTGGTATAATGGCCAAGCGTTCACGCGTGAGACTGATAGGTCGTGGGTTTGGACCTCGCGGGGGGTGGGATCGTGGATGTGCACCGCTGAGTAGTTCCATACTAGGACGAAACGGCCGTCCATTGCTTCCAAGTTTCTGTTTGTCATTTCTTTATCGACTCTAAAGATAAATCTTGAGTGGTCACCAGTTTAGAAATCGACATCTGATGAATATATATTGTTTTTGATGAATATTGCTAGCAATCATTATGTCTTTAATTGTTCTCTTTCCTAACTTGTACGGCAAAATGTCATAAATGTTTCAAAAACGCTCTCGTATTGGTTATACGTTTAATAGGAACAATGATGTGTTAAACAACAAAACAAATAACTTGTTGAAATACCCAAATGACAGGAACTGATAGCTCAAATATTCAAGCAGGTCGCCTAACGTTTAAACTAGTTTTTGCTATAATCTATATGAAATAAATGATAATAAAACTGCTATACCCAACAAATCTGCAAACCACATGAAATAATGATTATTTCAATGAATTTTAACTTAAAATTAGTAGACAAACTTGGTGTTAAATGGTGGTATCTATATTTAATTTTACCAAACTGTCAGTTTATTAAATCGTTTTTGATGATAAGTGTTAAAGCCATATCATGTTTATACTTTTGACATATACTTTGATACATTTTATTTGGTATAAGTACATACTGGTTAAGTAAAATTCAATACTTCATAACTGTTAAACTTGTAGTGTCGGTCATTATGTTAAGCCCATATACCTTTTTCTGGCTTTCGGACAGCCCATTCTATTCATTCTACTTGAGTCACATTATGACCTTGTTATTTATTCGCTTCTCAATCTTGACTGTTTTTATATGAGCGCGTAGGTGTGCGTACATTTCTTATCCCATTACTCATCACATGTCTGTAACTTACTTTTGTGTAACTATAACTATTAATTAACGCTTGACTAAAGGGGAGTTGGCTTACCCTCCATCTCCAATTCTCGTCGTTTCTCTTCTCTTTATTCCATTCACTTTATATACAAAATATATGTATTCACAAGTCCATTCTCTTCATTCGACTTATTTAATTCCATCATTGACTAACGCGATTTAAGTCGATGATTATTTATGAGAATAGGCGATAACAAACATTCATATGATCCGATTGGAGTCATATCTCGGTTCACTAAAGTTGAGAGCCAGTTCGAAAACATCATCCGATCTAAACGACGATAAAAATTAACGGGCCCCACAAAAAACTTCCCAAATAATGGTTGTTTTTACTTACAATAAGATTTGACATGTTTATAATCTTTCATATGTATTTGATCATATCTTATTGGTAAAATATTTTAATTCTTGGAAAAAAGAAAAAAATCTTTATGATTGGTTATCTTTAGCTGAATTATGTCCAGCTTTCAATTTACAAAATCGAATAAACGTTTTTCTATTCTTTTTTTGACTATGATATAAACAAGTTTTATGATTCTTGTGGTATGAATAGTAAAACCTAAATAGGTGTATAGAGGAAAGAAGTTTCTTTATCCTTATTTTTTTTTTTTTGATTTTTGATTGGTTAGAAGCATGAGACTGATTAACCTTAATGTTATCTCTAGTTAACCAGTATTTTATTACTATTGAAATAATTTATTTTTTTGTTCCTGCAAAGTTGTCTCATATGATATAGTCACATAAGTTCTAATTGGAAATTATGTTTATGATGACAGCTTTTTAAAACAGGTAATATATGTCATGGACTAAGGTTGTTAAATACAAATCATTAAGTGACAATACACTGACCTATCAATTTGACTTATTCAAATGAAAATTAAGCTGATATCTTGGTCTTTCGTTAGAAATTTTCATGAATTCATTTTACTAATTGAACGGAAGATTAGTGGAAATCATTGGATAGTTACTGGCTTCTTTTGATTATTTTAATGAACAACATGTAGACAAACTCGTGGTATGTAATGTATAAGTTTATGATCATTTGAGTTAAGATTACAAAATGTTCTGTTGGATACTTAAAATATGTCATGAATTTGTGTGTTGAGATATGAATCATACTTATTATTTGGAAGTTGAAAAGATCTAACTTAGTTGTCTAAATAAAAGTAAAATAGTTTGGTATTCGAACTTATGTTAGTGATATCTTTTGAAAAATAAAATTATTTTGACCGTATAACGTGTTATTACAAATAAGTTAACATGAAATATTATCCTAGTTTGATACGTATCTTTTTTAAATATTCAATTTAGGAATATTATGAAACTTTAGTAAACAGATTTCAATCCATTAAACTTGATAACTGGATATAGGGTTATGAATAATACTTGTCAGATAATTTGTGTTGAGAAAATTATACGAGCTATCAGCGTAAATTATAGTATTTTACAAAAAGATTATCAAACTTGAAGAAAATAGAAATTTTGTGTAGGTAGCGTTCATTGATATTCAGTCAAAAGAAGTCTAAGTTAGTGATCCTTTATTGATTTAGTTTTGATTGACAGATGTAACCGTTTTGATGTTGTATACATTATTTCTATTAAAAATACTGGTATCAGGTATTTTTAGATTCTCTCATTAAATGATATCCCACTAAAGACTTTAAGCTTCATCAGCTGATTAGTCTAAGACTGTACTACTGAACTTTTAAGCAACAACTATATGCTTTACTGTAGAATCTCACACAGGACGAAAGTAAGGTTCAAGGTATTCAGTCGATTATCTCTAACCATTTATATCAGAATTGGTATTCTTGTAACTTCAATATTAACTAAATAGAATCTGATATAAGTTAACTGATATCAGAAAGCTTCACGTTTGATTTAATACCGTACTTAGTGAGTTTCTTTCAAATATAGATTTGGAAACATTTTATTTACAGGATCTACTTCATAATTAAGACGCTTATCGTGTAAACACAGTGATAATATATTACTACTAGTTAAACCTTGTAAAAAAACAGCAATATTGGGAAGTATACTATAAAGACCTGCTTTTGCTATAGTAATTTTATTCAATATTTATGAATTACTGTTCTATTAAACGATTATTAGTAGCAGATTCCAGTTACTCGAAATGGGTCACAAATAGCGTGTATGTTAATTATTTCAGAATATGTTTAATTGTTGATTTACTGGAAGTATCGATACCATTCATTTTATAGAGACTAAATTACAGACTTACATCTGACTAAAATAGAATTTTTAATATCCGAACTTAATTACTCACTGTAGATAAATTGAATGATATAAAATATTTGTTCACTCGTACCTTGTCTTGTTATATGTGGTAAAAAAAACATTAGGCTCGACCACGAATGATAGTATATTAAATTCAGTCGGTGTTGTTTACTTTTTGTTGTTGTAACTTCCCATTGTTATTTAGGACTGCGATTGAGCAGTCTCTTGTTGACGTATGTGCATCCTGGGAGGACTGTTTCGATATTTTCTTAAGTCACAAGCTTTATAAGCAAAGATGAATAATGACTAGCAGTGGAATCCAGAGTGAACATCAACTCTGAGATGCAGTTACATCCAGCTGACGAGTCCCAAATAGAACGGAACCGCGGGTTCTGGATTCTACTGCTAGCCCCTGCCCATCTTTAGCTCGAAATGCTAGTATAATTTGATAAATATATGAAAAGATGGTTATTTATATATTTGTTAAAGAGAAAATTTATAAACTAGAAAACAGACATATTATTTCTATTAGAATGAAAAGACAATTACAATGGTAAATTAAAAGATAAACCCTCTTGACACACAAAAATTGAAGTCCTATTTAACTGCCTTCAGCTCATTCTTAGATATGAGTAGTAGTATGAATAGTCATTTATATGGATTGTCATTCAAAAAAAATTAATGCACATTTAAAATGAGTACCATAATGTAACCTTCATTTTGATAAAAAGGATGTTCATTTAACTGAGACCAAATAACATTTACTTGTTGTAAAACAAAAACAGGATGTTAATTTTATTTGATGATACAATTGATTTCCTATAGGATGGTTACTCCATTTTAGTTTAATTTATCATGGTAATAAAAAGGTTTTCTTAAAGTAACTTCACTGACATTATTTAATTTTGTAGAACAGTTTTATTTAAATAGATTTAACAAACACCTAGCATGTATGATATAACAATGTGGTTAACACTAATAAATCTCATTATAAATTTGTAACTAGTGTTTCCTTATAAACCAAACTAGTAAAACGCCTTGCTTTTAAAACAAAATTCGACATCAGAATTAATAGTGTGCTCTTTTGGGGTTCGCAGATAATTCGATGAGAAGAAACGCAATCTGTCGGATACGCTATCAGTTGTAACTAAGTAGAATAAATAAACGTTGGTTCTTAATGAGCTTATTTGTGGTGAAGGATACTAGAATATTTATTTCAAATTTTTAACTTTTTATCCACTTTCATTCTTGTATGTTGCATACTACTTTTAAAAATCCTGTCTGGTTTTAAATTTTAATTTACTTTGTGCGATAAAGTAACTACTATATGGTAATTCTTCTAAAAACTTATCTGTGTAATCAAAAGACAGTCGCTTTAAGTTAATCTAGAAGATCCATTCGATGTTGAGGGTCCATCGCTAAAAAATCTGTCCTACATCTTTTTAAAAACAATCAATTTATTTGTATATGACTAACAGCATCTATATACCTTCCTTGAAGCACTTTTAGTGAAAGGTTTAGTGGTTTACTCTCCCTGGTTAGATTAAACTATAAGGAATATGTGTATTTATTAATAAACTTATTATACTGTTTATCACAACTGTGAAAATACTACAATCTTCACAAGTCACCATACTGATAACAATCATGTGCCTACTATTGACTAGCTAAGGGATGTAATTCCAGAAGTTTTGGTGAGAAGCCGTGACCAGTAAAGTCCCATATGTGTCTGGTGTGAGACAGTTACGCACCGCAAAAAATGAATGAGCGGTTGCACAAGATCATGGATTGATTGAAGTTAGACACCGTTGGATGTTGGGTCAGTGGTCTGAAGGTTAAGCGATCGCGCACGAGACCGAAGATCCGGGTTTGAGTCTTGCCCTCGGAAACGCGTATGTACACGACGGGGTCCCATACTGGGATGAAACACCCGCCTAATGCTTTCGGACTTTCAGTGGTGATCCATCTTAGATTAACTCGTGATTCCAAATGTCCCAGTGTATTGTACCATCTAATATATTACAATGTATTTTGTATTTATTATTTCTATTAAACTGTTTAAAAACAATAACTTTATTTCAATCAAACTTTTATAAAACCATCAAACTACGAAGGTGCTAAAGTATTCAGTTTTCGTATTTTAGCTGCATGTTTTAGAGTGCTAAAGAAATACAGAATTCTGTCGCATCTGGGAAATGACTAGTATGACATTAATTAATACTCAATGATCAATCAATAAAAATATCTTAATATGACAGTTATTAAGTCATGGTTTAAAAACCTCTTTTATTGTATCTAACTACGACAATGACCGATGTCGAGACACTGCTGACAAGTGCTAATGAACCAGAAATTTAGGTTCACGTCTTATTCGCGACTATCTTTCACTATCTAACAGAATGACAATTAACAAATTGGAAATTACCCTGACATTTTCTGCAAATTCAATTAAATTCGGTAAAAAGCATAAGGAAAGTAGTGTTAAGAGAATATTTTACGACAATTCCAATAAATGTATATTCGTTATCATCTTTAAATTGTTTTATAATTGAAACGAAGGCAAGTTCATAATCAATTTTTATTTGTACAATTTACTTATAAAATGTTCTTCTTGGCTATGTTAATTCAAGTAAATTGATTTATTAATATATTAATATATATTAATGAAACTCTTTTATATTCATAGATTATTCCTATGCTAATTATAATTATGCTTACTTCCGAATCAATTCTGAGTGATGTAATGCCACCAAGGGTAAATTGCATAAATGATTGTTGGAAAATTGGAGAAAATTGCAAACAGAAATGTCATCGGAATTCTCAAGAATTCAAATGTAAATCTAATTGTCAAACTGATATAAGAAAATGTCAACGTAGTTGTTAACTGTTTCTTTTTTATTCATAATAATAATGAATAACTTCAATATTCAATGAGTTCTATACCGTATGTTCATCTTAATTCAATTAGTTTCTATAGTTTTTATTTAGCCTATTAAACTATACATTCATTTTACAATTATATTGATGTTACTTCATTATTCAGATTATTTGTAACCTCAAATCAAATGTTCTTAAGAATATAAAAGAAAAGCTTAATGTTGTTATTTAAATGTTTACTCCATATAATTTTCTTTAACAGAATTCATATCTTGAAATTTTAACTATTACTAATAATACAAATGGTAGTAAATGAGAAATTTTAATACAGTTGAAAATTGATAACAGTGTTTTGTTAAGTCCTATATATAATTATTATTTTGTTGTCATTTTAAAAATAAACGATGTAAAGTAATTGCATTGTCAGAATGAGGGTTTATGGAGTTTGTAGTAGTGTAATGGATGAATTCATGAATCGATTTAAAGTAGATTACCATTGAAGACCTGGAATCAATGGACGTCCGTTTTGCTCTAGTTTGGGACACCTCAACAGTGCTCATCCACGATCTCTCACGCATGATTTGAACCCAGGACCTTCGGTCTCGCATGCGAATACTTAACCTCTCGACCACTTCAACCAATGCACAATATTGCCTCACATATGACACGGTTTTGACACCACTGATTATGTCTACTAATTATAACTCTAGGAAACACATCTTGAAGCCAGTCACTAGTGAGCACATGATAATTATTATGGATTGGTTAGTTAGACATTAATACCGTCTGATGTCGGCTCAGTTGTCAAGAGATTATATATATACAAATGAATAAATGGTCGCACAAATGGCGTTAAATTAATGGATATATTATCTCTAATGAGCAGTTATCATAATGTTTTAGCTGAGGTGCAATTAGGTATAAAAATCTCTTTCCAACATCAATATAGTGATCTACATATACTTAAATGTTTTAGCATTCGATTAACTAGATAACTTGATTTATTATTTTTTTAATTTTAATATACAATTAGCTTTATTCTATACTATATTTTTGGTACAGTATAGAATTCTTAGCACAAACTATTTCAACAAGTTTCCATTTCTTGTTTCTTCATCGATCCTGACGATAAATACTGAGTGATCGCCAATTAGATGTTGGCAGTTCAAAAATCGACATCTGAATAATGTGTATTCTTTTCGAAGTATATTGACAGTAACCACGATGTCTCTAGGTGTGCTTTATACTAACTGAATTCATTGTTTAATTAATTGACATAATGGTCTGTTGAAACAAACAAAAGACAGATAAGTTGTTGAATTATCGAGATGGCAGGAACAAGTAGCCCAGATATTCATGCTTACACACACCAAGATTTTTACTATAGAGCCTTTCGATTTTGCAATATCCGAAGTTTGATTGTTATAAATCATTGACATTCGCCAATGTAAACAAACTCAACAGCGTAACACTTTTGTAAGAAATGATATAATTCATTAAAATAACATTGATTATTTTTGTTCAATTTATTTCAAACTGTCCCCATGTTACTTTCTTTTAAAGTTTCAAAGACAACAACAGTGATTCAGTTACTATAAATATATTACTTTATATATTGTACATTAAAAAAGTTAATGTCACTACTTCATACGTAGATAATAATTAGTTTATTCCAATCTAACTAATCGATACAGTAGACTTGAAAGATTAGTATGAATTAGTGGAATAGGTAAAAATAAACGTATTTTGTATAATTTTGAATAAATTTATGATTGAAGAAAAAAAGCAGAAAGTAATCAACTATAATACATAAAACTAATTATAGGTCAGTCAGTCAGCTACAACGTAAAATCAGGCACATATATGCATTGGTCTAAGTTGCCATACCTCATTATCACAACAATGATACTGATAGTGAGAATGTGGTTTTTGCTCCAAAGAATGTTTAATATTCTCATGGCTCAATGAATGTCAGAATTCGGCAAATTAAGTTGAATATAACACATTAGCAAATAAGGAGATAAAAACAGGTAAACAGATTGTATCATTTTGTAAGGGTTAATTGTTTTACCGTTACCGATATAAGGACAGAATTTTTTTGATTTCTGTTAAAATATGTAAATCATAAGTGAATACTTCGGTTTTGAATATAAACTAGGACTAGGAGTGAATTCAGTTACACACGTTTCTTGCAATTTATTACACATCGACAAGAATAACAGTATTTATGTTCGCTTTTGATATTTCATACTCATCATCACATTTTAGTTTTGATAGCTACTTCATCATATCAAATTGCTTTCCAGCCAACTACCGTTTGTAATGAAACAATCATTAAGTCTTACACATTTGAAATATGAAATGTTTATATTAATCCCTATAAAATCAACATGGATTTTAGGAATGTTTCTAGTTCACCAAAATCGGTTTTCATCAGAGTAGCGATGATAGACATTTTATATAAATACTATTATATAACGAATGTAAATAGTATAGATTTAGTCTATCGAAATGTTATAAATATAATTGAAATGTGTTTAGAAAACTTGTCATTTGTACATTATAATCATTACTAGTATATCATATATTTTGATATTCAGATAGAAGTCTATCTGAAGTTTGTGCTGATTATGTCGTTCAGAAGAACGATGAAAGCTCCACGACCAAACCATCCAGCTCAGAGAACGAAATTCCATCAAAATCGTCCACCTGAGCTACAAATTTCTCCACCATCTCAATATCATATATTGTTAAGTAAATAACACTGTATTCTGCCTCTTGGAATTCATGTTAAACCTTCTGAGTGAAATGTTAAAATCGTGAGATTTTCAAGTGTGAATACTTTCTGTAGTTAAAGGAAAAGTTCAACATACACACAGTATTATTAAATGTTAAACAGAATAACTTTGGTGAATCGATAAGTATGTGTTTCCAAGCTATTGAAACAGAAATAAAATCAAACAATGGTTTAAACTATTGTGGTGGACCAAACAATATATAAACGCAAAAGTATAAACAAAGTTACTAACAATCAATAGTAATATTAATATTTACAAGTTAAATGTTACAAATACAATAACAAATTAGGGACGTTACTTAAATCGGCTAGTCGTTGCGTGTTCTGTTGAGTCTTGGTCTCAAAATTCCACAATTATAAATGCGTAATAATTCCACAGAGGTAAATATGACGCCAATAAGTTTCTTTGACATAGGATATAATGGAAATGACACAGCAGTCTGAAATGAGGATAATATCCAGTTTAGAACGCAATTGACTTGGTAACGAACGACAATAGAACAATGGGTATGTGCGTAGTAGTGTATTTGTGAACAACCGAAAATGTGTGTCACGCTATGTTAGTAACACAACGGAAAAAGTCTTCAAGGTCATTTACTTAAACAACAGGTACAATCATTTAATGATAAATGTACATTCAGTGAGAAATGGACAAATACAAATAATATTAAAAACTATTTACAAAATAAGCTTGTCAGATATATCTCCACACTATAATTCCATTAATGCTATTTCAGCTATTGACTATTTTTAACAAATTTTTCACTAAACCACCAAAATTAATAAGGAATAAATGCAAGTGTAGTTTACTGTAGTTATTTCAATTCACCTATCAACTATAGTTTACTCTAAGAGCTCAACTCTTCAAATAATTCAATTTTCATAACTGCAAATATTCAGTTCACTATGCTGAATAAATATAATTTTGTTTTGAAGCATCAAATTAGTGGTTAATCAACTGCTCACTAGTGACTGACTTCAAGAGGCATTTCCTGAAGTTCTAGTGAGAAACCCTTACCAGTGGAGTTCAACAGGTCTGTTGTGAGATATCAACTCACTGAATACAAAGGTATGCAGTGGCGCAACTTCGTGGATTGGTTGAGGTTAAACCTCAACACCGTTGGATGCCGGCCAGCTCAGTGGTCTAGTGGTTAAGTGCTCGCGAGCGGAATCAGTAGGTCCTGGGTTCGAATCTTGCGGGGTGCTGGACCGTGGATGCGCACTGCTGAGGAGTTCCATAATAGGACGAAACGGCCGTCCAGTGCTTCCAGGTTTTCCATGGTGGTCTAGCTTCAATTGACTCATGATTTCAGCCAGTGAGATTTCTAAAATTTTCCACAAAACCCATTCTGATATTTGACTGATCATAGAATATCAAGCAGGCAAAACAAAAACTTTAATAGTTGAAACAATGAGTCAATAGAAGCTAGACCACCATGGAAAACCTGGAAGCACTGGACGGCCGTTTCGTCCTAGTATGGGACTCTTCAGCATTCACGATCCCACCTCCCGAGAGATTCGAACCCAGGACCTGTCAGTCTCATGCGCGAGAGCTTAGCCATTATACCACTGAGCTGACCGGCATCCAATGGTGTTAATGTCTAACTTCAACCAATTCACGAAATTGCGCCACTGCATACCTTTGTATTCAGTGAGTTGATATCTCACAACAGACCTGTTGAACTCCATTGGTAAGGGTTTCTCACTAGAACTTCAGTAAATGTCTCTTGAAGTCAGTCATTAGTGAGTAGATGATTATTATCAGAAGTGGTATTGTGGAGATTTTAGAAATTTCAATAGTTGAAATCATGAGTCAATTGAAGCTAGACCATAAAAACTAATTACATTTATACAATTTATTGACTTAGTCTAGATCCCTACTGAATGTTCTATCAATTTAAGACGGTAGCACATATAAATATTGTTGAAAAGTTCACTAATAGTATCAAAACAATTCATTCATAGATCATTCATTTATATTTTGTTTTCTGATTGGCCGTAGAAACCCAAGAATTTTTCATGGTCATTTTAAGAGTCATTCAAGTTCACCATTATTTTTAATGTTTACTAAATATCTGTACATATATAACTTATTGTCAAAGTTAGTTTACTTAAAAAAAGGTCACAGTCAAGTTACAGACTGTCATGATGTTAACTGATTCAATTCATATTAGATCATCAGATAAATACACATGTTTTAGATGTTAATT